ACAAGGAGTCACAAGCAGATGATAATATTTAGAGGCAGGTTAAAGAAGAATTTCCTCCCAGGACTTCTTTCTTTATCAGTGAGGGCCACCTTTACTCCAAGCCCCCAAAAGATTTCCTCTCATCTTGCAGGCCAGAACTACATCATGTGCCTAAACCAATCACTCCAAGGGGACTAGGATTGCATGACTGTCTTAGATCAATTGCGCTTTACCCCAGAGACTGGGGAGAGAGTCTTCCGTTCCAGAGCTTGTGATGGTGGGGGTCTAGGGGGCTGGTAGTGTGGTGTTGGCAGCTGTAAGTATCTCTTAAAATCAGTCACAATATTCAATGGCTTAGCCCATCTGTATAATAAGACAAAGAGAATAGCTTAGCTGTTGGTCTTGAGGTATGGGGGAAAAGCCAGGAGAGAGCAGGAGACACAATTGTGTTTTTTTCTTTTCTTTTCTTTCTTTCTTTCTTTTTTTGAGGGAAAATCAGATGAACTCTTCTATAGCCCTAGATGTAAAGAGAACTTTTAGGGCAGAAAGTAGAATGAAGTTCCAGAGAGCTGTCCATCATGAAGGGAATTCACTCACGTTTTAGTTGAAAGGAGAGAGAAAGGGCAACTTGTGCTCAGTGAACTCTTTCATGAGACACGCCTGTGCTTTAGGGAGGAAATGTGCCTTCTAGTGAGTGAACAAATACATAGACTTTTCCATCATGGCCAGAACAAGTGCTGGCTTCGGCAGCTTCCCAGTTAATGAACACTTGGAGATTTTTGGTTTTGCGGTAGGCTTTTTGGTGAAGTCCTAAAGGAAGCGCTTGGCGTGGTAGAGGACTCGGACACTTGGTATTTTCTCCATGTGTCCTCTGAGGAGCCCTCTGGAAAAGGGCTGGACATGGTCCTCCTAAAGCCAGCTCTCTTCTTGCCGTGCCACTGGAGTTTGGCAAAAACCTCCATGAGCACTCACCATTTCTAGCCATGCACACAAGTCATTTATCCTTTTCTTATTTGTACAGATAGAAAAAACCATGAATTCACATGACTATTAGAGATTTTTTATTCAGGCAATATTTTTCTTTAAGGTAATTGGGGCAAATAATCCTTGGTTAATCTCTCAAAAGTATCACCTGCCCCCTGTATACACAAAGTGAGCCAATTTCAAGGGAATGAAATTAACCATGCTTTTCTTAAATTTCCAAAGTCAATCTCAGAAGTCGGTCAGTTCACCACTGCTTCTAGGAAGAAAACAGCTCGCCTCTTGGGAAAGAGAACAGTAAATTTGCAAAATGAGTAAGTCTCCAGGGATGCCTCTTTTTGCTACTGTCATACATTTTTTTTCAGAACAGTTGAGACTCTGATAAAATAAATATGTCATGTTATTTAGGACGAGATGACAAGCTGAGAGTCACCAAGCAGGTGACACGCTGCCCTTGACTTGGCACGTTTCCATGGTGTCTGTGGCTGATAGGGATCTCATATTAAGCGAGATGCAGACTGCGTTTCCTCTGTCAGCTCAGTGACACGATTTCAGGCAAGGAAGGTAGAATGCCTCTTTGTCAGCCAGGGGTGATTATGGTGGCTATCACCTGTCTTAGTAGCCCTCCCTTCCTCTGCGAAATGTGGGCAAATGAGATTTCATGCTTTATCATCAGGCTGCCAGATGGGGTTGCAAGTAACTATGTAAAAATCTCATGCTCTGTGGCACAACAGTTGATGTTTGCAAGGAAAAATCAGTGTCTTAAAGCTTTTGATGGAGGATGTTGCAAGTTTGTGTAAGACTTTACGTTGTCGTGCTTAGCCGTGGGACTCCTACACCTGCATGTTGACAGAGGCACGGTAAATTACTGGCAAAGCCCTATGCAGAAGCCCCTGAGCTTTGCCTGCTGCTTCATAATCTTCAGAAATTACAGAAAAACATGCATGGACTTGTTTGTCACTTCAGACTCCTTGGGGTATACTAACAGTCTGAGATGCCACTCCTCGTAACATTAGAGCGCTTTACCGAATTCTTGGTAGAACAGTCGTTCTGTAGAATATGTTACCAAGCAAGTGTTTCTCTAGAATCCACTTTATTACCAGAGAGGACCTAATAGGACATTCAACACCCAACAAAAATGTTAAATTGTCTGTTAGGAGACGGGAACCAGATGTTCCCCCTTTCTAAATTGCAGTGGTATTTAAAGACACCTTTAAACACCTGTAGGCAGCACAGAGCGCGTGCCTGTGAAGCTGCTACCAAAAAGCTGCCCTTTATTCTGCCGTTGACTTGCTCTTTGTAGGAGCAGCCAGTGCCTGCTCTGGGTTGTCTTTTGGGGATGAGATGACTTCAGAATGGAAAGATCTGGAGAAAATTTAAAATGAATAAGCTGTTAAAAGACTCAGGTTTTAGGAAATCTGACAACTCTGTAACCCAACTTTTATTTATCAGAAGGAAAAAAGTTAAGATATTACCAGCCAAACCTAGAGCTGGATAAGGACAACATCTAAGTTCTCTTCCTTAGGCTCTCAACTCCTAACTTAGAATATTGATGATTTTTTTTAACCCTAAGCAGTCACTAAGAGATGGGGTGGGGAAACCTACACAGTTGTGTACTGATTGTAACATCAACACTTCTAGGCCTTCAACCTCAAAGAAGAAACGAGCTTGACCTATGATTGCTATTCTTCCACCATAAAGCCACTAGAGAGAAAGGCTTGTTTGAATTAATGAAAAGTTTGCAGTTTAGTCACATTTTAAAGAATGGTACAGGCCCTCCTATCCAACTGATCAGGGCTTGGTACTCTGTTGTCATTAAATTATGCATCAACTTTAAACATCTAATTCTAGACTTTATCCATTTTTTAAATGTAAAACCAACATCTAGTGTCCTCTGGTGGAGGCCCTTCATCTTGTTTCATAAACTGTTATGTCTATAGTATATTGATTATGTTTTCATGATGTATCTTCTATAACATGGAATGAGAATTTAGTCATCTGAATTCAGACTACTGGAGTTTTACATCTTAAAAATTTTTATTTTTGTTTATTTGGGAGACATAAACAGAGAGAGACAGAGATCTATCTGCTGGTTTCCTCCCTATGTGCCTGCAAGGGCTGGAACTGGGCTAGGCTGAAGCTGGGAGCTGGGAATTCAATCCATGTCTCCCTTGGGGGTGGCAGGAACTCCATTACTTGAGCCATCTCCACTGCCCACCAACCCCCAGCCCCTGCTGTATCTGCATTGCCAGGAAACTGGACTCAGAAGCCAGAGCTGGAGCCAGAACTCAAGCCCAGGTCTTCTAGGATCTGGCATGCAGATCTCAATGGAATAAAGTCTTAACCACTTTGCTAGATGACCTTTCCTGCTTTTTACTTTTTAAAACTGTGTTTTCAAAAAAATGATGATTTTTCCTTTTCTTTCTTCTTTTTCTCTTCCTTCCTTGCAGTGTGTTATTGTCAAGGTTTCAGTGAATATCTGACAGTTTTCCTGGCAAAAACAATTCTCACACTCACACACTATCGATTTAAGTCCTATTTAAGGCACGCGTTTTGTAGTACTCAGCACAACTGCATGAGCAGGCATGGAATAAACACCTCAACGGGAAGAGCAGAAGGTCATAGGGTGTTAGGGAGCCTAGCAGCCTCTGTTTGCATTCCTGATGGCAAGGGCACCCAGCAGCCCAGCGCTCATAGGGCTGATGGCTCGTCCTTTAATTCAGAGTTTCTACTATAAATACACTTTTCATTAATATGTATAGCTAGTAACTCTTATACATTTTTTTTTTGCAAAATGTTTTCTAGTACAGGTCCTGCAGAACTTGCCTTAATGAACAGCTAAAGCTCACTTATAATCAGCAGAATCTGTCTGCATGCATAATTGGTCTTCTAAAGTGTTTTCCCCAGCAATCTAGTTTACACTGGGGTACTATAATTGGTTTGTTCATCAGACTATGTTTTTCTTAGATGGGAAGAGAGGATGATGTTTTGGTCCAGTCGTCATTGAGTTATCACAATTTTTAAATTAATGGAGATTTAATGAGCTCTTCTTCCAGTTATATATGCTAGAGGTCCTAAATAGCCCTATCAGTGAAAATGCTTAAAAGTTATTTTTCCTCCTAAATATCAGTAGCAATAAACTATGATATGCCAAGATAGTTTAAAAAGAAAATGAATAGATATTGCTTCTATTGAGATTAAATTAGCAGGCTTGGAAAATGTTAGAGCTGAGGCAGTGAGAGCTGTGTGTGTGTGTGTGTGTGTATGTGTAAGTGTATTTACACACACAGAGGAAGAGGGGAAGGGAAGATAGGCAGAGATAGAATAAGACAGACACAGAGTGACAATTTTGTATACATGTATTTAGAGAGATTTTATATGTATGTATAATATTACAAATGGACAGAGAGAGAAAAATGGAAAAGCGGAGGCTGACAGAAGCAGAGAAAAACAGGTGACAAGAGAAATAGAACAAAGAATGACAGAAGTAGTCACAGATCATTAAAACTATAGTAGTATAACATTCTTAACTATTGGTTTGACAGATGTATAAAACAGTTTTACGAAACTGGATTTGCAGCAACACTGATATACACAAGCATTTTTTGTCTCTTTTTTGTTTTGTTTTTAAATTTCAGCTCCTTAATATAAGGGAGAAGATGTGGTATTTGTCTTTCTGTGTCTGGCTTATTTCACTAAACATTATGTGCTCCAGTTGCATCCATCCATTTTGTTGCAAATGGTAGAGTTTCATGATTTTTTATAGGTGAATAATATTCCACTGTGAAAATATACCATATTTTCTTTATCCATTCGTCTGATGATGGACACCTTGGTTGATTCTAAATGTCAGTGTTCAGGACTGGGAGGCAGGCCCAGAGCCCCTGAGGTAATACCTGGTAATACCAGACCTATGCGTGGGTCACAGCCTGGGTGCTGAGTAGGTAGGTGACCTTGCATCACGTGTTTGTGTGTACTAAATGTATTTTTCAGCTCTAAATGTGCTTTTAAAATTTTATTTATTTATTTATTGGCTACAGAAAGGTATTAAAGGAAATCTCTGTTGGCGAAGTAAATCCAAACGAGACTGTGCAGGCCAGTCTGGAAGCTCAGCTTCTCTCCAAGCTGGAGCACCCAGCCATTGTCAAGTTCTATGCAAGCTTTGTGGACCAAGGGAACTTCTGCATCATCACAGAGTACTGTGAGGTGAGACTCTCCTTCTGTCTTGTAAATCTTTGTGAAAATCTGTTCTGTGGTAAAACAAACAAACAAAAAACAAACTAACTAACTAAACCTCATGCAAAGAGACATCTTGAAGTTCATTTATCAAATCAGAAACCGAACTGGGATCTCATGTCTTAAACTAATAATGATCATATCAAGATAATTGGCAAAACTCATTTCTTTTTTTTTTTTTTTTTTTATTTTGACAGGCAGAGTGGACAGTGAGAGAGAGAGACAGAGAGAAAGGTCTTCCTTTGCCGTTGGTTCACCCTCCAATGGTCGCCGCGGCCGGCGCGCTGCGGTCGGCGCAGCGCGCTGATCCGATGGCAGGAGCCAGGAGCCAGGTGCTTTTTCCTGGTCTTCCATGGGGTGCAGGGCCCAAGCACCTGGGTCATTCTTCCACTGCACTCTCTGGCCACAGCAGAGGGCTGGCCTGGAAGAGGGGCAACCGGGACAGAATCCGGCGCCCCGACCGGGACTAGAACCCGGTGTGCCGGCGCCGCTAGGCGGAGGATTAGCCTAGTGAGCCGCGGCGCCGGCCAAAACTCATTTCTAATGAACTATTTTTCCCGTTGGGAAACTCAGTCAAAATGAATATATTCTGAGGAAGAACTGCAACAGAAGAATGTGTCAACATTTTTTGGGTGGAATGCCAAAACCTCCTCCAATAGTCCAGTGCTTATCTGAATGTTTAAATGCCCTAACAGAGGCCTGGACAGACCAGAGGTGTGTCTCTTATTATGTTTTGGATTTTTGTTCTATGGGTTATTTATCCAAGTGGAAATTTGGGAATGGAAATATGGCTCATTTTGCCCACCAAAATCCTTCTTATTTATCGAAGTGAGAGCTGTGTATTTTATTGAGTCCCAAGAGAGCAGGAAGCAGCTGTCCTGTGGGTCTGTGTGTTCTCTCCCAAGTGGTTAGGTAGAAGGGAGCTCAAAGATGACATTTTTCAGAAAAACACTTCCCAGAACATTCTGGTAGCTTGTGTTAGCAGAATTCACCTTGGGAGAATTTGATACTATTCACACTCGATGATAAATTTAGTCAGCTCATCACCGTATGTTTCTGGGGCCTCAAAGAAATAAGACTGGAAAGGAAAAGATACTCTTCAGGGTAGAAAGCGTGCTTTTTGGGGTTGGGAACTCTGGACAAGCAGGTGCAGCGTGGGGTGCCATGTGTCTGAGAGGCAGAAATAAGCAGAAGGAGAAGGAAGAGAAGTTAGGAAGGAAGTTAGAAGCAGTCTGGCTACTTTGCACATGAGCTGGTGCATCCCCCAAAACGAAAGGGCCCGGCTAAAATCCCTGACTGAGTCGGAAACATCCAACATCTCAGCTGCTCCCCTGCGCATCAGTCTCAGCTCAGCTCTGCTGGCTGTCCACATCCCAGCTCATCTCTCCTCTGCTTGGAGGAAAGTGGGAAAAAATGCCAGCAAAAAAACAACAGCCACAACAAGAAAACAAGGCACTGGAATGCTTACTTCTCCCTCCAGTGGATTGTTAAGGAGATCAGTAAGATGATGTGTGTGGAGCAGCAGAGTCAAACAGCTACTCTGAAAATGCATCCCTAATCCATGCAAAACTACGGGGGTGGGGGGCACTGCACTGCGGCCCACCCGCTGTAGTCCAGTCGCTTGCTTCTTTCAAAACATCGCAGTCAAGGCACTGTCTTGGTTTTGAGACAGCTGACTCCTACTGCTTATGTCTGTTACTGCTACCGCTTGGCACGTTGAATTCTTCAAAGATTCTTTCTTGGTCTTAAATTATTTCAAACTGTAGCCAGCACTTCCCAAGAGAACTTTCTGTGTTGATGGAAATGGTCCGTACGTGTGTGCTGTCTAATACAGAAGTCACTAGTCACACACGGCTGTTTACCACTTTGAAGTTGAAGAGCTGAATGTTAAATTTCCTTCCTCCCTTCTTCCCTTTCTCACCTCCCGAGAGAGAGAGAGAGAGAGAGAGAGAGGTACTTGTCATCACCACTACCTTCTAGGATGTATATTAGCATAAGCTGGGAATCAAACTCAGGCCCTTAGATGTGAGACACAGGCATCTTAACCACTAAGCTGAATTCTCACTCCATATTTTATTTTATTTATTTTTTAAATATTTATTTGAAAGAGTTACACAGAAAGAGAAGAGAGGCAGAGAGAGAGAGGAAAAGAGAGAGAGAGAGGTTTTCCATCTACTGGTTCACTCCTCAATTGGCTGCAATGGCTGGAGCTGTGCTGAAGTGAAGCCAGGAGCCAGGAGCTTCTTCCAGGTCTCCCACGAGGGTGCAGGGGCCCAAGCACTTCAGCCATCCTCCACTGCTTTCCTAGCTGTATCAGCAGGGATCTGGCTGGGAAGTGGAGCAGCCGGGACTCAAACCGGCGCCCATATGGGATTCTGGCAGCACCTTTACATGCTATGCCACAGCGCCAACCCTCATATTTTATTTTAATTAATTTAACCTTAAATATCCACATGCATCTAGTGGCTACCATAATGGAAAGATTAGATGGTATGCTATAACTTTATTTTCCAGCATTAATTTTTAAAATTTTAATGTAATTGAAAACTACCAGAAAAGTTACAGCAGTAATACCATGAACTGTCATATATCCTCCATCTGAATTATTCAGTTGTTACCATTTTTCCATGACCTTTGCTTTATGATTCTATTTGTTGATTTATCTACTCTTTTTCCCTGAACCATTTGAGATTAAGTTGCAGACAGGCTGTCTCTTTGTCCTAAATACCAGGACTGTGTTTACTTTCTACAGCTAAAGACATTCTCTTTTTTTTTTTTTATTTTTAATTTTTATTTTTTTTGACAGGCAGAGTGGACAGTGAGAGAGAGAGACAGAGAGAAAGGTCTTCCTTTGCCGTTGGTTCACCCTCCAATGGCCGCCGCGGCCGGCGCGCTGCGGCCAGCGCACCGCGCTGATCCGATGGCAGGAGCCAGGAGCCAGGTGCTTTTCCTGGTCTCCCATGGGGTGCAGGGCCCAAGCACTTGGGCCATCCTCCACTGCACTCCCTGGCCACAGCAGAGGGCTGGCCTGGAAGAGGGGCAACCGGGACAGAATCCGGCGCCCTGACCGGGACTAGAACCCGGTGTGCCGGCGCCGCTAGGCGGAGGATTAGCCTAGTGAGCCGCGGCGCCGGCCAAGACATTCTCTTACATAACCACAGTGCAATGATCAAAATTGGAATATTCACATGGATGTGATGTGAGTCTGTAATGCAGACATCCTGAACATGTGGTCTGAGACCAGTTGCATCAGTATCACTTGGGAAGTTGTTAGAGATGCAGATTCTGGGGATGAGGGCCTGGGCTGGTGTTTTCTAAAGTTGTCCCAGTGAATGTGAAACAAGCTGAGGGATGAGAACCATTCATCTAATTCACAATCGGCATTCTAATTCAGCCCATTTTTTTTGCCCCAATTATGTCCTTAGAAATGATATTTCTGTAAATCCCAATCTGAAATCATCTACTTGACTTAATTTTTAAATAAGCGATAGGTGGCTTCCATTGACCTTGCTCCAGTGGGGGCAGGGTTGTCTTGGGGGGAGTACCTTGGGGGTGTTGCCATGGTGATGGCTGCGGGCAGGGCTTCCTGAGCCTTGCCCTGCTGAGCTGTCAGGCTGCCCCTTGCCCAGCTCCACAGGGAGCACGGATGCAGGTGGCTGGGATCCTGATAACAGAGGTATTTCTCATCTGCAGGCCCACATTTACTCCTGACTTGTCAGGCCTGACAGTTTCCTCTTCTTGTTAAGGTAAAATAATACCATAAGAAACAGCAGGTGGCTGCACTGGACTGTCACCATTGAAATGGCCGATGTTTTTATTTCTGAGTTCCTTTGCCTGTAATTTATTTTGGGGCCTTTCTAGAGTGAAATGCATAAAGGCATTTATGAGGCTCCTACATCTACTACCCATCCCTTTGAATACATCAGCTCAGACTGTGAGTGTTAAAAAGCCAACCACAAGCTCTTGCACCATTTTGTGAAGATCTAACCAAGTCTTTGAGGAGAAGTAATTAGAGTGTCGTAGTGGCAGAACATCTCAAATACTGGTGTCTTCTGTTCTCCACATAGGTAGAGAGCAGAACAGGTGCTGTCACCTGTCCATCCTCCAGTTTCAAACTCTGTCTTTGCCTGGGTCATTTCCCTTCAGAATGCCCTTGCTCCTAGTCCCACACCTCCAAATCCTACCCAGCCTCTCTAGGCCCAGCATAAGTGCCACCTCCTCCCCTGTAGTCAGAGCCTCCCGTAATCTGGCTGCAAATTGCTTCCTACTCCATCCCCTAATTCTCATAGCATTTTTATCTCACCTGGCACTCAATGCAACATACATCCTAGAAGCCATTCGGATTCTCAGCGTGTGGCCTCTGCTTTTCCTTGGCGAAGTTGGTACTTGTGACATTTCCTTGTTGATAAATTTTTACCATTTGTTTCCAAATGCGTCCCACCTCATTTCTGTCAAATACTGGTGGTAAAAGACAGAATATTGATTCCTTCCACCTGTCATATATGCTGAAAGTATTTTTTCCTACCTGTTTTTCTTTTTTTGCTGCTGGTACTCCTAACGACATACCATGCTAGAGACCTAGGAGATACTGCCTAGAGGTCTTCCATGAGTGAGAAACCTGGTTGCTACGTTACACACATGAAAGAGATCAGGTGAGATCACACACCTGATGGTGTGTGATGGTGATGGAAAGAACTTATGATATCAGGGTAAAAATCAAGAAATGATGAACTTGTCTATTTCTTGCTCAGTGACTTTAACAAACCAAAACAAAATTTCTATCAATATAGTAATAGTTCTCCACTTTGGCTTTACATTAGAATCACCTGGAGAGATCTCAAAAGTCCCCCATTATTGTTGTATTGGAGTCTATGTTTCCCTTTAGATCTATTAACATTTTTTAAAATAGCCAGATGCCCTAGCGTTGGGTGCATGTGCATTTGCTATATTCATGTCTTCCTGTTGAATTG